TGATTAATAACATGAGCTTAAAATTAAAAAAAAAATAAAGGGAGTATATTTTGATTAAATTATTAAGTATCTAATGCGTTATGATAATAAAAATTTACTACTTTCTCTGTTTCATAATATTAATTTTTTAAGGTTTTGTTTTGTTTCACAATATAGTTACTTCCTATGAATACTATATGACCGATTATATTTTTCAATTTTTCATAATTAGTTGAATTATATTTAATTTATATACTAAATGATTATTTTTTTAAAAGAAAAGTTGCTTTTTAATCTTTGTGATGTGATGCAAAACAACTTATATTTAGAAATAGAGAGTATTAAAATTGTAAAAATAAAATTTGTTTCATAATATTAGTTTTTTGAGATTTTGTTATGTTCAACAATATAGTTGTTTTTATTTTTTTACTACTTACTGATTATCTTTTTTAGTTTTTTTATAATTAGTTGAATTATATTTAATTTATATACTAAATGATTACTTTTTAAAAAGAAAAGTTGCTTTTTAATCTTTGTGCTTTGATGCAAAAAGACTTATATTTGGAAATAGAGAGTATTAAAATTGTAAAAATAAAAATTTTATTATAAAATTTTATAATCGATTTAATTATTTTTTATACGAATGTGAATGCATATTTAGATTAATCCGCAAAACTATAGTCATAAGAATATTAACTTTTAAGAAAAAAAATTACTGTGAAATTTATTTTAAATACTAAATATACATAAGGATTATATAAAAATAGATTATATTTTTTTTTAATAAATTATTTAAAATTGCATATAACTGAGTCAATACTTCTACATTCTTAACATTTTGATTCAATAAAAATATTTTTAATATCAAAAAAGTTTAATAAAATTATTATATAATATCTTTACAAAAATAGTTTAATTTTTACCAAGTTAGTTTTTTGTATAAACTAAAAAATTATGATATTTAACTTTTTAATGAAAGAAAATATTTTAAATATTATATTCTATTAAGATATTCAACTATTTTTTATAGTTAAACTTTTTATTAATATTTTGTACTTATTATAATGTTTAAATATTTATATTATTTGGTTAATTTATATGGTTCTAAAACCATATGAAACCAAAAATAATTATAATAATAATATCTATTAAATTAAGCTTCCTGTTTTTTTATTATTTATGTATTTTTATATTGATTTATGAATCATCTATCTACACATCCTTATTTTTAATTTTTGTCTTTCAAAACATACTTTTATTTATTAATCATTTGAGTAATTTATATTTTTTTATGAATTTCGAATTATAACACAGAATATATATATATATATATATATATTACTATATAAATGATTTGATGATTTATTTTCATACAAAAAAAAAAAAAAAATATAGTATTTAAAGAAATAATTAATATGATATATTTTTGGTAAGAAATAGAAAAGAGAATATCTTGATGAATCATCATCAATATAATTGATATAAACTAATGTATAACCAAATTAATGTGAGTGGCATAACATGTAATTAATCTAGTAACATAAGTCTATTTTTATAACTTTGCTGAAAATAATTCTGGTGATGACACATCAGCAAAATGGCACCATTGTAATATTTTACAAAATTAAGGTTATTCATTAAAAATGCTTCTCTTTTAATATATAGGGGATTTGCCAGTATGAATGCAATTATTGATGCATTATATCTCCCATATCTCAAAAGTTTAAAGAATCAAAGATATAAGACATTATCCAAGTTGGATATGTTATTGATTTTAGATTGGGATTCAATTCAAAATAGATGAATCTGAAGTGTCATCATTTTGAGGAGGAGAATTGATGAATCCCACAATCCATAGTAAGTAAAACATCTAGAAGATTATGTTCAAAGTCAAAATGATCTTGATAAATTATTTATAAGGTAATTTTAATGGATTTCAAAGTTAATCAAGCTAAGACAATAAAGAAGGAAAATTTGAATACCTTCAAATCTAGAGTATTACTAAATGCACTAAAAGTATTTTGGAGAAATTACATACACTCTCTAATAGATTGTAATATATAAAGATTGTATAATGGAGATCAATGTTATATAGTTAACCAGAAGTTTAAGGAATATAACATAGTTTGGCATGAGCTGGTTAGATCATTCCGGTTCAAAAAATATGCAGAAATAATCAATAGGTCTATAGACATCCATTGAAGAACTTGAAGATTCTTCCTAATGATTTAATCATATGACAAATATAATATTATGATTTTCACTAGCCAAAATAGATTTGAAATCTATATCATTTCCTAGAAAGTTTACAAGGAAAAGTTTGTGGTTAAGTAATTTATTATATTGAATATCTGCAACTTGAAGTTTGTTGGACCCCTTAGCAATGTTAGTAAATTTACGTCTTAAGCCTTTGATGATAAAATCATAAAGATAAATATTGAATATCTAATAGCAAATGTTCATACACAAAATCCAGAAGTATTAATTCGCATAAAGCCAACAAATAATCAAAGTTCTCCCATCAAATCTGGTTTTGGGTCAGAAACCAAATATTTTCCATCTAAATGATTTGGATGTGCAGTATATATCCACATTGCTCCACCACAACGTTATAAGATGGATCCTCAAATGAGGTTGAGAATATATGTTGGATATAAATCTCCATTGAGAAATAAGTATGTAGAGTCCATCCATGAAGAATTTATATTAGGCTCGATTTGTAGACTGTCATTTTAATATGTCAGTAATTCCAACATCAGGGGAGAAAAGAAACAGCTGGAAAAGATAAGTTGGAATGAACTATCATTGATCCTCGGACTAAAGAATGTGAATGAAAGTCCAAAAGATAATTCATTTACAACGTTTAATAAATCAGTTGCCAGAAACATTTACTGATCCAAATAGAGTGACAAGATCACATACCAGCTATAAATGCTCCAATAAAATTTAATGTTCCAGAAGGACAATATCAAGCTGCTAAAGAGTTTAAAGAACGCATGAAGTGTGATAGACTTATTGGTTCCAAACATAAATATCCTCAGAAAAGAAAAGGAGCAGAATTGACAATGGTCATAGTGAGGAGATAGATTTTTGAATGATCTCAAGAAGAGACATTAAACATGACAAGAAAGAAAGTCAGATACCTGAGACAATAAAGAGATCGATCTCAACAAGTTATGTCATGTCTAGAATAAAATGAAACCGAAAAGCAAAACGACGTCGTAAATATTATTGCATGCACTGTAGCAGTTGATATGATAAATGAGAAAGAGGATCATAAAATCTATTGCAAAGTGTACACAGAGAAATGATTGGCCAAATTATAAAGAAGCAATAGTCATAGAGTTAAAATCTCTTGTAAAGAGATGAATATTTGGACCAGTTGTCCATACACCTAAGGGTGTAAACCCAGTGGGATATAAAGAAGACTTTATATGAAAGAATGATAAATATGAAATTAAATATGAAGAGACAAACTCTTCTGTGGTGGATGCAACTACTTTCAAGTTCCTTATCAGTCTGGCAATAAGAGAAGAACTTGATTTATACTACCCACTGGATAATGAAACTTAAATAAAATCCCAGAAGGATACAAATTCCCGAAGGATTAAGATTATCAAAATTGTGTTCCTGAAGATTCTAATTATTCGATCGAATTAAGACAAAAATGTTTTATGTGGTATAAGTGAATATTATAAGTTTAACCAATATACCCATATGTATTTACCAAAAGATTATGGATCAAGAGGATTTAGATTTGAATATAATCAAATCTCTTGAAGAGTTATCCCAAATTGTAATTTGGAAGAAAAATCTTTGGAAAAGAATCAAAAGATGGCATTGTCTTCAAGTGTTCCAAATTGAGATATTTAAGTGATAGAGATACTATCTCAAATGATCCTTGAAGAATTTACATAAAGAATGCTCACAATATTTTGATCCTGAATAATACTTAAATTGCTAGTTGAGCAATGTATTTATCTATTTCATGATTGAAAGATATGATTTAGTATAACAAGAAAGAAGCTAAAATAGTAAAGAAGAGCATGAATAACATCTTATGTATAAGTATGTACCGTACAACTTTAGAATGTTGTAAGTTAAATGAAGCTTAGACTTGAAGTTCAAAAGATCAAGAAATAGTTGTTTATATGAAAAAATTGTTATGGACAAGAAGTCCGGTAACCTAAGAGATAAAAAAAGATATTCATACGAGTTTATTCATTAAGCTTATACTTATAATGATTGTCGAAAGATGGTATATATGATTGGAATGCATATCCTGAAGAAGATACTTCCAAGGGGGAGAAATATGATGATGTATGCGGTTGTACTCTTTTTTCTTATCATGGTTTTTATTCCATTGGGTTTTTCCATGAAAGGTTTTAATAAGGCAACAAAGAACACATAAATGATATACATCTAAAGAGAAATGTAAAGATGAAAAGTTTATCACCCTTCCAAAGTATTTGTTATACTTTAATAAGATCAAGTAAAGAGAATGATCAAGACGAATCATTATCAAGAGTCATGCGTTGCAGAAGAATGGCGACGTATGTATCCTACCAATTTCATTCAAGTGAAGATTCAACAGACAAATTTACTAAAGCGTTACTTTTAAGAAGTTATCTCATCGTATTAGATTGCGTCATCTCAAAGATATCAAGTGATGTAGTCATGAGGGGGATTTAATGCGCATTGCACTCTTTTTTTCTTAGCTATGGTTTTTCCTACTGGGTTTTTCTAGCAAGATTTTTAACGAGGCAGCATCCTACGCACTTTAAAGAATAGTTTGTATAATGAACATCAAGGGGGAGTGTTATGAATTATTATGTGATGTCTATTATAAGCCCATAAGGCATACCTTCTAAAAAGTTCCAAAATTACTTGTAAGCTAGGTTTTACTTTGTCACCAAGTAAAACTCTCTTTTTGTACACCTATATAAAGAACCACTTATTCAATTGGAATAACACAACACATATTCCTTCTATCTTTTTTCTCTATTTACAACAAAGATAATGTTTTAAACATATCATTATCTTTTATCGTTTTATTTTTTGACCGTCCAAAGATTTTTATTAGTAAACCTATACGGGCAAAGATGATTACACGAGAAAGGCCTAATTACAAGTGATCCAAACCATTAAACAAAAACCAAAAATACACGTGAATATAACACGTACGGTAACTACGGTTAATGGGATATTGAACATGTGGCCACCATTGCGAAGCTTCAACTTGCGGAGAAAACTGAGAAGGCCTATAAATTGAGCTCTACATGTCTCATAAGTTTCTTACATCACAAATACCCTTCCTCTCTTATAATTAAGAATTGCTTCAACTAGTATATGCCAATGAAGAGTCTCTCATTTCTTGCAAGTCTGTCTCTCTTGGCTATAACACTTCCATTAGCCATTTCTGATCCAAGAAGCGTTCAAGACTTCTGCGTCGGCGTAAACAGCTCAGTCAATGGTGGTGCGTACATAATGATTGTCTTTTTTGTGTTTTACATAATGATTGTTTACGCTTACCTCTCATTGGTTTCTCATTTCTGATACTTCTTTTGTTATATGGTTATCATGTTCAGTGTTTGTGAACGGAAAGTTTTGCAAAGACCCAAAGCTCGCCACAGCAGATGACTTCTTTTTCAGAGGGCTTATCGATCCAAAAGACCCAACCGATACGCACCGAGCAAACATCACTTTAGTCTCTGCTGATAATTTTCTGGCTTTAAATACCCTTGGAATTTCGTTTGCCCGCGCAGATTATGAAGTGAACGGGGTGCAACCGCCTCACACCCATCCACGTGCCAGCGAGTTCTTGGTTGTCACACAAGGAACACTTTCAGTGGGTTTTGTCACGGCAGACCAAGATGGAAATCGTTTATTCGCCAAAACACTCAACGTGGGTGATGTATTTTTGTTTCCAGAGGGACTCATCCATTACCAAGCCAATATTGGAGACGTCCCAGCAGTTGCATTCACTGCTTTGAACAGCCAAAACCCAGGTCTTAGCACTACTGCTGACGCCGTGTTTGGGTGTACTCCGTCGATAGACCCGGATGTTCTTGCAAGGGCATTCAAGTTGGATCGTAGTATTGTCGTGGATCTACAGAACAAATTTAAGACTGCTTCTTCTTTTACCGCTGTCTGAATAAGGGTCATGTATTATCCATCCGTACATCAATAAAGTGATGCCATCAGTAAGCATAATGAATAAGGGCCATGTATTATCCATCCGTACATCAATCAAGTGACATCAGTAAGGATAACGTATTTTCTTTTCTTTTTTTGTTAAAGCAAGTTTTATTTCTTTTGTCATCAATAGATTAATGCTTACAAAATAATGTTTGCAATCCACTTCACGCGGCTGAATTTTCTATCAAGATATGTTTTTTAAAAAAGGACTTAAAAACATAAACAAGAGAATCTGCAGCGTTCAAAGTGTTCTTATATCTATGTAGTTTCAAACTAAGCCATAGTAGTTTTAGAACCATCAAGACTAGCTAAATGGGTTGAAAGATACTAACTAACAAACGCAGATGTTGAGCAACTTCAGAAGGAAAGAAATATAAAGATAGACATGCATAAACCTGAAGTTTCCCACCTCACTCAAGTGAGAGAGTTTTCTAAGTTGATTGAATCCCAGATCAAGGTGTTTCAACCTGGAACATCTCCGAAGATTATCCATCTTTGCAAACTTGTTTCGACTCAGATCAAGCGACTCAACACAACACATGAGAAAAGTTGCAACGACTCATCCATGGTCACGAGACGGTTGCAAGCGTATGAAACGAAAGCCAACTTAGTCCACTGGTGAATCCTGAAAACTATTTCTATACTCTCTGAGGCAACTCTATGTGGCTGTATTATTTATCGTTCAACCAAATTCAACGATAATCCCTTTTACCAAACCAATCAGTCAATCCTTATTTTTTTCCACCAAATTCAGTTCACAACTAATTTGATTTCTTAGAATCTATCGTTGAGACATTTATAGAAAAATATTGAAACTGAGGAAGAGAACAAGTCAACGAATTATGGTTCTTAAATATATTTTTAAATATAAAAATTAACAAGTGATTTTTAAATATATTTTGCATGTTTATAATTTATAAATAAATTAGACAAAATTTTATTTATTTACTAGTTTTTGTTATATAACTGATGTATAATTTGTTCTATTTACCAAATATCTTTATTCGTTAAAAATAAAAAACTGAAATATTATTAAGAAAAGGATAGAAGTACGTACCTTGTGGAGATCTGACTTCTCTATATCAGTCTCTCTTTAATTTTTTTAATTTTACACTAGACTCCGACTTTATTCTGTTGTGCAGTTGTTATAGGGGAAATAAGCACATTTTCTAAAAGGTTTTCTGTACCAATAATCTAAGCCTATCAAAATCAAAGAGATTATGCCAACCTAGCTCGGAGAAAAAGAAATCTAAGCATCGGATCAACACAAAGGATAAAGAAGAATTCCATATTCTTCAGAGAATAAGAGATTTTTCCATATCGTGAATATGAAAATATTCACCAAAGGGAAAATGGAAAAGGAGTTCGGAGCAACCGATCTCTTATCCCTATAAATAAGAAGACCTCAAAGCTTAAGAGAACAACTCATACAATCTAGAGAGCAGCAGAGCTAAAACCAAGAACTCCAACACTTTCTCGTTTACTTCGCAAACACTTTCTTTTCACCTCGGCATAACCTCTCGGTTAAGTCATCTCTTATAATCGCTTCGCTTTACAGCTATTAATAAAAGATCTTATTCTACGAAACCCACAACTGTTAATCAAATCCTTAGTGGTGATTTTCTGGTTCAACAGTTGGCGCCGTTTGTGGGGACTAGGAGAATAAAATTCTTAAAACTAGCGACCAAAGAACCGAAGCGATGAGCCTTCTGAACAATAACAGCAACCTCACCCTCAACAATGAGGACACCACCACGCATACAGAGACATCTGGTCTCGACGAGCACGGCAACCCTACAACCGTGAATCCACCCGCAGGAGCACCCTCAGCTCATATCCTCGCCACCGACCTCGCAGCAGCGATCCAAGCCGCCTTACTTCCTCTCACACAAAACCTGGTGTCCAAGCTACACACCCTTCAGGCCCAGCAGGCCAAGTATGACAAACAACTCAGCACCTTGGCGGCCGCGACCACCATGAGATTGGAACCGCTAGAGCGACGCTTGGTCTTCGAGACACCAGAGCAAGCCAACACTCGGGGCGCAGCACCAGAAGAACCCTCCGACGAACTGAATTCTTAGATCGCAAGGTTGCACCAGCAGATTAACGCAATCGGATCTCAAGTCCACCGCGCCACCAGTTCGGCACCCGAGATCTCGGTCATACTGTCAGACGCTGAACGCAACCCGTTCGCCTCGCGGATCACAGACGTTTGACTTGGCACGGCGATCAAGCTGAAAGTCCCATACTACAACGGAATGGAAGACCCGAACCTATGGCTGACCGGGTTCAACATCGCCATGAAGAGGCAACGGTTCGAAACCGACCTCGAACGTGAAGATAATCACTGTCAAACCTTCATAGAGCACCTCAACAAGGACGCTCTCAAGTGATTCTCTAACCTCCCGCCAGCATCGATCAAATCTTTCAAGGATTTGTCCCATGCCTTTATAAAACACTACTCTATGTTCATCACGCAGAGGACGGTCAACCTTTTTACCCTAGTACAAGAGCGCAACCAGCCACTCTGCGATTTCATCAAAAAATTCAAGAACGCCGCTGCGGCGTACGGGCAGATCCTGCAAGTTTTAGCCATGGATGCACTCATGAACGGCTTATGGTTCGAATCCTCCTTCAAGGAGGATCTGCAGAAAAACCCGAAGGAAACCATAGAAGACGCACTCCACCGAGCTCAAACTAACATACGGATGGAGAAGGAGAAAACTTTCGATGCGAAAAAGCACGGCATGGACGTGGCAAGCACCTCGCAAGACAAGGATCTTGCAGGCAAAAGCAAGCCGTCCTTCCATGCCATCGTAGCCACCGGAGAGAAGCCCTGAAATCAGTGGACCCGCGGCAATCCTACAAGGAATTCAGACGATAGGGACGATAACCACAATCTCTATTGCTCCTTCCATGGGCGAACAGGGCATGCTACTTCGGCCTGTCGACACCTACATAACTCCTTGTACGAGAAATACAAGGAAAGAAAAATTAACATCCCAGAACAAAAGTTCCTACTCACACAGCTCTAACTCTAAGGACTCGTGCCGAAACACCTCTAGCAAGGATCGCCGAGATCCAGGAAAAAGCAGCAGCCGAAGCAGCTCCGGAGGAAGATGCCGAAGTCGTTCGCTCGAGAAAAAGCGAGAAGAAAAAGAAAAAGAAAAAGAAAAGGGAGCGGAGCACGAAAATGACGATGGCGAACATGACAATCCACCCCCTCCGCCCAAGCGACGGGTTAACATGATCATGGGAAGACTTCACGACTGCGACGATTCAGTTCGCGCCATCAAAGAGTATGGCCGAAAAGTGATTACATCGCAAAAGTTCCCTCACCCTGTGGACTACCATCCAACAATCACGTTCACATCAAAGAATATGCATGGGTTACACACCCTACATAACAACTTGTTGGTCGTCGAGTTACACATCCACGATAGCGAGGTGGCCAAAATACTGGTGGACACCGGCAGCACGTTCAATATCATCTTCAAAGATACTTTAACCAAGATGGGACTCCAGGATGAAGACATCAAAGCAGCTCCAAAGCCGCTAACTGGCTTTGCTAGCGAGTCTTTCTTCATCCTCGGCACCATACGTCTGACAGTCTACGTCGGCGGAGTGACGAAGATTGTTAAATTCACTGTCATGGATAAACCAGCGATCTATAATGTCATACTTGGCACGCCTTGGATCCATGAGATGAAAGCTATCGTCTTGACCTACCACCAATGCATGAAGTTTGCTACCTCGGTCGGCATCTTCACGCTTCATGGCAATCACCAGATGGCAAGATCCTGCTTTATTAGCGAACGCAAAGTGCGACTCTCCACGGCTAAAGCCGCCGAAGACACCAAACAAGCGGAGTAGATTCAACAAAGAATCTCGCAGCTTTAATATTTAGTCTTTTTCTTAGTTTATCAATAAGGGCCGGCTTGGCTCCTGAGTGATAACGCTCATTCAATAATTGTAACGAACTACGAACGGCTTGATCCCAAATTGGATACATAGGCAACCTCTGGGTGCAGCTGTAAATTTAATAAATTTTTATTTCGAAAAATCAGCTCGACACGTAGAGTAGTATTTTATTATGCGAATGCATCTTGCTGAATCGATGTTCTGGCCAAACATTTGATTCGAAAAAGCAAAAGCAAAAGTTAAATTAGTGGCTGATCACCACTTCTTTGATACTTGGGTTCGATTTAATTACTTCCAAAGTGGATAAGACGAAAGCCGAGGACAATACTCGCACGACCCTCGATCATACCTTTCAGGCCGAAGTGAACTCTAAAAGCTTGGTATTCGATCTTGATTGTCGTTTGGGATAAGACGAGCGAAGGAATCCCGCTTCCAACTCCGAACTAAAAAGTTCAAATTGTATAACAGAAACTTCAAAAGTGTTTGCGGACACTTTAATTTACTTTTGCTCATCAAAAAAGAAGCACGAAGAGCAAAACGTAATTTCATTATAAAAAACCCTTTCGGGCAAAGACATTACACACAAAAAAAACCTCGCAAGGGCCACTCAAATAAAAAAAAATATATACAAATAAAATAAACGGCTCAATGCGGATCGTCTCTTGACTCCCTTTATACTCACTTTAGCAAGCTATTGATTTCACGGGAGGCTAAGGTCTTCGCCAGTAATAACTATCTCGTCGATATCATCACTGGTAGCCCGCCACTTCGCGAACACCCTCTCAAAAGATGGAACTGTTCTGGCGGGGAGTTCCCATCCTTTATCCTGCATCTTCTTCAGGAACCCCACCAGAGAGCTACTCTTCTCCATGCCCACAAGGGCAGCTTCTACCTCTTCTCGCTGAGCCAGCGAAGCCCGAATCCTCTCTAGTCGCAGCTGGAACCAAGAGATCATGCTATCAAACATCTTGTCAGCGACACCCCGCGATACCTCACCATGGGAACCTTGAAGCTTCTGCTTAAGAAGCCGAGAAGCTTCCGCCACTTCGCCTTCAAATGCTTCAATGGTGCCTTTAAGTTGGGAACACTTCTCTTTGAGAGACTGATTCTCCTCTTCCGCCTTTTTGAGCTCTTTGATCTCGGCACAGGCGACGTCCAACATCATCTCTTCCTGGCAAAAATTGTTGTTATACGTCGCGAATGCGGACATATACGCTCCTAAGCCCTGCACCACGATCTACTTGTTAGAGACAAAAACAAATGGGGGGCAGAAACGCACTAACACCAAATAATAATAATAAATACCCGGGCAATCAGATGATTCGCTGAAGATATGGACTCCGCCAACTTTAGCTCTCGAAGTGGTTTTCCCCACCTTGGGTTCTTCCTGCACGTCCAGATCAGATTCGCGGTGAACTCGCGGTTGAGCACTGCCGGAGTGACTCCATCCCATTTCACGCTAAAGTGATTAGGGTTGTAGTCGAAGAACTCCTCCTTCTGCTTAGGCTCGGCGGGAGCACTTGGACCGGCACCATCAGCACCTGGAGCACCTTCTGGGTAAGCAGAACCCTTGGGTGGAAGTTCGGCCTCCTGACGAGCTGTAGTGGCTTCTTCAGTCCTTGAACGACCTGCATCTTCTGTGTCCTAGACCCGGGGACTCTGAGGAATGTTGGCCCGGGGCGGCGAGGGAACAGCCTCGCGACAGCTCACGGCAGCATCAGGGGGACCCCCATCATCCCCGCCTTCGGCTTGAGAGGTAGTCCCTTGGAACACTTTTCCTTGAGGGTCCCTTGCAGCCTTCTCGGCCCTTACTCGCCTCAA